GAAAAAGGGCCCACATGCCACAGCTTGCCGCTGGGTCTTGATGTACTGGAGCAACTCATACAGAACGTCAGCTGGGGGTGGGGGGCGGGAGGGCAGGCTGCTGACCAGGTGACAGCTGGCATGTCCGTCACAAGATTCATGCTGATGGAGATGCTAGGCAGAGGCCTTAGGATGGAAATGGGGAGGGGAGAGGGAGGGTGCAGGACAGCTCCCCACCCCCACCCTGGCTCCCCCGGGTTTGCATCAGAGAAGCCAGTGAGTGACCCTGACCTGAAACCAGGGAGCTGAGTGGGAAGTCGTCCTTGGTGAGGATGCAAAGGGCTCTGCCTTCATCTCAAAGTCCTGCTCCCTGGTGTGCTGCAGAGAATACTCCTGCTCAGCCAAGCGCAGCCAGTGCAGCTCGTCCTCGTTGCTGGAGAGCATGGGCTGGATGGCGTTGACGGAACCCCAAGGAGGTGCCCAGAGAGGAGGGCTTGGCTACGGGGTGCCTGTGACTCTCTGGCTCAAATCGCCTCACCTCACAGATAAGACAGAGTTCAGCCTTCGGCATCCGACGAGGCACTTCCAGCCTGGTCGGGTGGCCCAGTGGCCCGACAGCCTCACAGGCTGTCTGCAGTCTGACTGCCCTTTGTTTCTCCAGAGGCAGAACTACCTGGCTTGACTCTTGGGCTTGCAGTTTGCAAGCCGCAGGCCTGCGTGGGTGTTGGCATCTGGAAAACGGGGCTGGTGGTTGAGAACAGTGGAGCGTGTAAAAGCGGCAGTATTTGGGTGGGCGGGCTGTGTTCATCCCTGCCCTTTCTCTTGGGTTCTCCCCAAACTTCCTTCTTCCCTTTCCATCTGAGCCTCTTCCTCCTGTCCCCACATCCCTCCCCCAAGAGAAGGGTCTCACTTTTCTGAGTGTTGAACAACACTGATCTCAGCCTTTCTGCCAGAAGCTATGTTAGGCGCTGGGGTCAACGGGGAAGTTACAACTTTTAAAGTTGCAGGCTGGAGGGGCAAACAGTGACCTGGAGCCCTTTCAGAGACGAAGAGCCGGTTTACATGATTTGAAGGCTGGGCACCTGCCCTAAAGCAAGGGCGCCTGAAATAGGGCCGGGCACGTGACAAAGGGCCAAGCGGCCCCGCCCCCGCCCTCCAGAATGGAGCCCAGCTCTCGCGAAGCTTGAATTCCCGGCTCGGTGTCTCTTCCCTCCACCATGGCAGAGTGCCCAGAGCCTGAGGGGAGGGCGGCACGAGGCCCGGCCGCGCCCATGGCCGGACTGCCGCCGCGGGCTGGACTGACCCCGCCAGCTAAGCCCCTTCCGCCCTCCGGGCCGCGCGCCAGGTAAGTTGGGCCCGGCCCCGGCGCCGCGTCCCCGGGCCTCCCCTCCCGGCGAGACCAACTTTTGAGGCACAGGGGTTCGCTTCGAGCCGCCCCTGCTCTTTAGGAAGAGCTGCGCGCAGCATCTTCGTCCAGGGGAACTTCGGCCCCTCATCTCGCCCCTGCCCACCGCCCGGCTTGCTCCGGCTGGGGTGAGCAGGCCCCGACTTGCGCGTCTTGAGGGGACTCGGGGAGGGGGAGGCGCAGAGTCCTGGCTGGAGTCGCAGGGCTCCTCCTCCTGGCTTCTGGGAATCGAGGGGGCGGGGTGGGGGTGGGTCGTCTGTGCTGGGTCCCGGGGCTGGACCCGCTGCGTTGGGACTCAGCCTCTCAGCCTCCTAATCTCCCCTCCCCGCCCCCCTTACAGTAGGTTCCAATAATATTTAATTGCGTCTCGGGCTTAAAACTCATCCATAGTCTCGCAGGTCCCTTGATTCAGCCAAGTCCCTCCGTGCTCCTTCCTCTATTAGATAAAGTACCAGGGAGGAAGGGGCGGGGGAGGGGACTGGAGGGACCCCTGAAGCTCTGGCCTCGGCCGAAAAGGTGCTTCTGATGTTTTCATTTCCCTTGCTGAGCTGCTGCTTCTGGGTTAAATTCATTTTATTGCCTGTTCATTTTTAAAGAAAGACTGACAGAGTTACTCTAATCAGGGGTCTGAGCTCAGAGTAGGTCAAAGGCACTCACAGGTATGTAGGTGAATAAAAATGGAAGGAGGGTTGCCAAGTACAGCCAGGACACCTGTGTTCATAGCATACTAATAAAGGCCAGAATCTCCTCATTTATCTCTGGTGGGAAATTCTGATGGTGTCACAGGATCAAACTCAAACCGCATCCAAACCAGGTGATTTCCCCTGAGCGTTCAGTGAAAGGAAGTATCTGTCCATGGTAGGAGTGGCTGGGCAGTTTTGAATGGCTGGATGAGAGGAGCTTGCCTAGAATGGAACTAAAGATCTGCTCACGTGTTCCCGTGTGAAGACGCACATGGACATCAAACCTATACTGTTCCTATGAACGCTCAGTCTCATGTTTATTCTTCCAGACACACTACCAGCATCATTTATTGGGAGCAGGAGCCGTTGGGGTCCAGCGAGCTTCCCAGCATGAGACAGGCACTTTCCTAGAGCTTCCAAACAGTTCTTTAAAAATCGTTACTCTGAGGTTTGTGAGTTGTATTTTCATTGCACTTCAGAGACTTCCTGTTTATCTCCCAGTCTCTGGTAACAACGTAGCATTTTGTTTGAACCCTTGGTTTGTCTTAAGGAGACCCTGGTTTTGGAGGTTTTGATTAAAAAGTGCCTTGTACTGGGCTTCCCTGGTGGCTCAGCGGTTAAGAATCTGCCTGCCAATGTAGGGGACACGGGTTCGAGCCCTGGTCTGGGAAGATCCCACAGGCCGCGGAGCAACTATAGTCCTTGAGGCACAACTACTGAGCCTGCGCGTCTAGAGCCTGTGCTCTGCAACAAAGAGAAGCCATGACAATGAGAAGCCCGCGCACCGCAACTAGAGAAAGCCCATGCACAGAAACGAAAACCCAACACAGCCAAAAATAAATAAATAAATTTATTTTTTAAAAAAAAAGTGCCTTGTACTACAGGGTTTCTTGATAGGCAGCTGGACTTCTGATTTTATTTTATTTATTTATTTATTTATTTATTTTTTGGACTTCTGATTTTAAAATACCACATTCCAGTTAGTAGGAAGCAAAGATTATGTTTCTACAGAAATTTTATGTAGTATTCCAGGAAATAGAGGCTTTGATTCTTCCCATCATCAGATGATTTGAGCCCACCTTCGTGACCAAACACTTTTACATTATACTGACTAGAAGGAATAATCACAGAGGAAAAAAAAACGGGTTGGTGGTGGGATCTTTATTCTCATCTGCATTTGAATCTTTTGGAACCCAACTGAATGTATTTGTATGGTTTGCACCATGCATTTCTCTGTCTTCTCTTCACGAGTTCCCTCAAAGAGAACACTCTGGACCTCGATGGCCACCTTTATTCACATAAAGGATTTTTCCATTTGGAGGTAAACATGTTGGGAGGTGAGGAGTTAATATTGTGTAGAAGCAATGTCCCACATTTTCAGAGGGGCCTCAATCCAGAACAAAGAATGAGAAGAGGACTCTGATGGTACCAGCTCTACCGACTGGGAGAAAGTCTCTCTGCCAGTTGGGAAAGTCACTTCATGAGTCTCTGTATTTTTTAATCAGAGATATAACCAGAGGATCTGTATTTTATGCATTTTGAAGAGAAAAGAGGCTAAATTTGGCTTCTATATTTGCTTTTTCCATTTTTCTCATGTTAATATATTTTTTAAAAAACCAACAAAAACCCCTTTGGATCCCTGCAATAGCCCAAAGTCATACTGCCTTGGCAACAGTAGCTAGTCCACTGGAGTCTCCAAATATCAAGACAGAAAATTTTAAATGCACTTCCAGGGACTTCCCTGGCGGTCAAGTGGTTAAGACTTTGTGCTTCCACTACAGGGGGCACGGGTTCCATCCCTAGTCGGGAAACAAAGATCCCGCATGCTGCATGGCTCGGCCAAAAAAACAAAAACATAAAATGCACTTCCAATAAAATGTCACATTTTAAAAGACATTAGAACTAACCTTCCGGGCTTCCCTGCTGGCGCAGTGGTTAAGAATCCACCTGCCAAGGCAGGGGACACGGGTTCGAGCCCTGGCCTGGGAAGATCCCACATGCCGCAGAGCAGCTAAGCCCGTGTGCCACAACTACTGAGCCTGCTCTCTACAGCCTGTGAGACACAGCTCCTGAGCCCGTGTGCCACAACTACTGAAGCCCGTGTACCTAGAGCCCATGCTCCACAACAAGAGAAGCCACAGCAATGAGAAGCCCATGCACCGCAACAAAGAGTAGCCCCCGCTCACCGCAACTAGAGAAAGCCTGCACGCAGGAATGAAGACCCAATGCAGCCAAAAATAAATTTAATTAATTAATTAATTAATTTTAAAAAAGATCCTTTGGCTTACAGGATCTTAGTTCTCCAACCAGGGATTGAACCCAGGCCCTCAGCGGTGAAAGTGCCTAGTCCTAACCCCTGGACCACCAGGGAATTCCCTAGTAACTAGTTTTTAAAGCTAATGAATTTCTCCTTTAACCCTACTTATCACTTACCAGCGGTGTGTATAATGTGCTGCTTTCCCCCCACCCCCTCAGGCCGTGTCTCTCTCAGGGCTGATTGCAATTCCTACAAGATGCGTTCACTTTATTTTATTTTTTTAACTTTTAATTTTATATTGGGGTATAGCCACTTAACACTGTTGTGATAATTTCAGGTGCACAGCAAAGCGACTCAGCCATACATATACATGTGTCCATTCTCCCCCAAACTCCCCTCCCGTCCAGGTTGCCACATAACATTGAGCAGAGTTCTGTGTGCTATACATTAGGTCCTTGTTGGTTATCCATCTTAAATATAGCAGTGTGTACATGTCCATCCCAAACTCCCTGACTATCCCTTCCCCTGACCCTTCCCCCCGGTAACCATAAATTCGTTCTCTAAGTTTATGAGGCAGTTTCTGTTTTGTAAATGAGTTCCTTTGTATCATTTCTTTTTAGATTCCGCATATAAGGGATATCGTGATATTTCTCTTTCTCTGTCTGACTGACTTCACTCAGTATGACAGTCTCTAGGTCCATCCATGTTGCTGCAAATGGCATTATTTCATTCTTTTTAATGGCTGAGTAATATTCCATTATGTACATGTACCACATCTTCCTTTAACCATTCCTCTGTTGCATGGACGTTTAGGTTGCTTCCATGTCTTGGCTGTTGTAAACAATGCTGCAGTGAACATTGGGGTGCATGTATCCTTTCGGACCATGTTTTTCTCTGGATATATGCCCAGGAGCGGGATTGCAGGGTCATATGGTAGCTCTATTTTTAGTTTTTTAAGGCACCTCCATACTGTTCTCCATAGTGGCTGTACCACTTTACATTCCCACCAACAGTGCAAGAGGGTTCCCTTTTCTCCACACCCTCTCCAGCATTTATTGTTTGCGGATATTTTGATGATAGCCATTTTGACTGGTGTGAGGTGATATCTCATTGTGGTTTTGATTTGCATTTCTCTAATAATTAGCGATGTTGAACATCTTTTCATGTGCCTCTTGGCCATCTATATATTTTCTTTGGAGAAATGTCTATTTAGGTTTTCTGCCCATTTTTTGATTGGGTTGTTTGTTTTGATGTTATTAAGCCTCATGAGCTGTTTGTAAATTTTGGAGACTAATCCCTTATTGGTCACATCATTTACAAATAGTTTCTCCCAATCTGTGTGTTGTCTTTTCATTTTGTTTATGGTTTCCTTTGCTGTGCAAAAGCTTTTGAGTTTAATTAGGTCCCATTTGTTTATTTTTGTTTTTATTTCCATTATTCTCGGAGATGGACTGAAAAAGATATTCCTGTGATTTATGTCAGAGAGTGTTCTGCCTGTGTTTTTCTCTAGGAGTTTTATAGTGTCCAGTCTCACATTTAGGTCTTTAATCCATTTTGAGCATATTTTTGTGTATGGTGTTAAAGAATGATCTAATTTCGTTTTTTTACATGTAGCTGACCAGTTTCCCCAGCACCGTTTGTTGAAAAGACTGTCTTTCCACCATTGTATAGTCTTGCCTCCTTTGTTGTACAGATGTGTTCACTTTAAATCCACCCATTCGCCTGTCTTCTCTTCCAGGTAGCTATAGAGTCCACTGCCTCAAATGGGGACCCCAGGAACAGCTGTTCCCTGCACTACATCTACGCCTAGCAGCCCAGCAAGTACCTGAAGGCCTTGGTGGCCGTGGGGGAGATTTGCCAGGACTATGACAGGTATGAGACTCCCCATCTCTGTGGGTTCGCATGGCCCCTGACTGACCCTGGGCAGA